TCCAGCCTGACGTAAAAGTGCCTAAACCAGCTCAGAGCACCTAGAACTCACATCTCCCCTGATAGGATTCTCCATCTCCCCCAAGCCTCCAAGATCTCCAGATCATCCCACTTCACCCCTGAGCCGTCATAAAGACCCTGTATCTCCCCCCAAGACCTTAGGACCCTTATAGAGCTCCCCAGCTCATCTCAGCTTCCCACATACACGCTCCCATCTCCATCAAGCCTGTGGGGCTTTACATGGCCCCAGTACTCCCCAGGACCCTCATCTCCTTAAAGACTCTACCATCTTCTCCTTCAAGGGCCCATTCCCCACCACCACCACATCAGCTCAGACCATGCAGGAGGCCTAAAGGAGTGCAGTGGAACAGAGACAGCATCAGGGAGAGAGATTAGACAGCAGAAAGGACTTCCCTCTCCAAAGCTGGACTTGGTTTGAGAATGGCTTAGTGATTCTAAGAGGGCTTGGGGTGATCTCATTCTGCAGGGAGCCTGAGAATCCACCCCCAGCCAGGGCCAGACCAGGGGGAGGGGAGATCCAGCACCAATGGCAATAAAGAGGGTAAGTTCCGGAAATCCCAGAATCCATCTTCCACCTTCCTTCTCTGGCTGAGCAGCTCTGTAGGCCCCAGGGGAATCTTTGAGGGGCATGCAGAAGAGGCCTCCCCAGTCCCAAATAGCCTGCAGAGTTGGGTAGTTCTTCCATGTGTTTAGTCAAAATCCTCCTTGCTCCAAGCTAGCTGAGCTCCTCTTGTGGGTCCTCAGGGCTTCTCTGTGGTGCCAGCATGCGCACCGAGACAGAGGGCACCACACTGCCCCTTCCTCTCCCCTAGGCCCCATGCCCCAGTGTATTTTCTCACTCTCCTCTCCCATAGTGGAATCCAACCCTCAGAGCTGGTACCTGAAACTGGGCATCTTCCTCCTCCCCCACCCCTACACACTGGAAAATTCCAGGGCCGGAGTTTCTCAAAGATGGCCCCAGCCCACAGTGTCTGTGCCAGTGGTAGGATGTCTAATCTCAGCCGAAGGTCTCATCCCAGACACTGTTCCAAGCCATTTGCATATATTAATTTGTTCCATTCTCAAGATAGCCATATGAGGAAAGTACTATAGTTAGCCCCATATGGGGTAACTGAGGCACAGGGAAATTAAGTGACACAGCTTGGAAGTGGTAGGGCCAGAACTCAGATCAGGCAGTCAGCCCCAGAGTCCTGCCTCTAACCCCCACAGCTGCTGTCCTCTTGAAGGGCCATTCTGACCATCCGTGCCTCTTTAAACTGGGTTGAAACTGCAGCCTGGGACTCCCCCCTCTCTCCGTCCTATTACACTCTGCCCCCAGATTCCTCTGGATTGCTCTAACCGGTGATCTGTCTACTCAGGCAGCCCTTTCCTGGTCTCTCCCCCAGGCGTCCGAAGCAGCCTGTCCACCGTGAGCAGAACCCTGGAGAAGCTGAAGCCAGGGAGCCGGGGGACTGGGGAAGACTGAGGCAGGGGCCGAGGGGCTGCCCCTGCCCTGTCCACCCTTCCTGCCCACCACCCTGATCTCAGAACCCTCCTGGGTCCAAACCAGAGGTGAACCAGGCCCTGGACACACCAGACCTGAATTCGTCCTGGTGGGAGTTGGGGTCTGAAGCAAGGTGTCAGCTGGAAGCCCCACGGGAGAGACCTTGTTGCAGGTTTTTGACCTGGATTTTCTCTCTGGACTGCAGCTGAGCCTCCTTTCCTTTTTGATCTGCTGACTGGTTTCTCTGGAGTTTGGGGCCCAGGGGTACCCAGTTCCTTGCTCCAGCCTGGCCACAGAAGTGAACCATAGGCCCACAGAAACCACAGACAGGGTCCTGACTAAGCCTGTCAGCCCCCAAGGGGGCTCTATCGCTCACCAGCTGGATAGAGGGGCTGGATCAGATTCTTTGGGGGATATCAAAACTCCAGGCAACCCCTCAGGGACCTTGGCAGCAATGAATCAGACAGGGGCAAATCCTAGACAAAGCGGTCACTGCCATGATGGGAGCCAGGTGAGGCATGAGCCTGGAGGCTTCCAGGAGGAGGTGGCTCCTGAGCTGGGCCCAGCCCTGAGACTCTTGGTGTTGGACCACCATTCAAGGCTTTTTGTGATCTGACTCCAGACAAGACTTCCAACCTTTCTTTCTTCTCCCCAACCCTCTCATGGCTCCTGAACAATCTAAACACGTTCCAGCCTCCAGACCTTGGCTCATGTTCTCCTGAAGGCCCCCTGCGCCTCTTTGCCTATTAAAACCTCCCACCTTTAAAGGCCCAGTTGTGAGAATCCCCTTAACCAGTGCCTTCCTTGTCCTCTTCCACCAGCCTGTGTCTCCCTCTCTCAACAGCCTCCCGCAGGTCGAAGTCTTCTTTCTCACAAAACGATTACTAATCCTAGTTGTAACTACTGTATGTTGCCCTTTTCCAGTCACCATCAGGGCACACAGTAGGTGCTCCATAAATGTTAATGGCTTAAATTTAACAGGGAAAAAAACAAAACATTCCCCAGGCTTTCCCTAGAGAGCTACTTCAAGACCCCATGTACCCACAGGATTTGGGGTGGAGCCTGTGGCCGTGCAGAAAACATTGCTCCTCCTTCCACACTGCTCTTCATATACCTGTGCCCTCAAGGCGGAGCAGTTGTTGGACCTCTAGAGAGACATCTGCTCCCTGTGGACTCTGTCCTGATTTGGTGAGCAGAAGACAAGCTAGGAAGAGTCTCATTCTTGAAGGATCAGAGCAGATGATACCTACTCTCAGAACTTCACTGTGCTCCCACAGCCCCGGGGCCTCCCTCCATCATAGCCCACATCCCTCTGAGTGGCCCTAGTCTATTTCCCCCTCCTGAGAGTAGGGGGCAGAGGACTAGACACAACAGAAGGTAAAGCCAACCAAAAGTAGGATAGACTATCTCACTGTACAGGTGGGAAGGCTAAGGCCCTGCAGGAAAAGGACTCATCGGGTTCCACGATGAGCGATTGTGAAGCCAGGCCTTGCACCCAGGTCTCTTCTCTCTCCCCATGCAAGACTCTACCCTCTGCTATTCTCGTCACAGGCCACGGGGAGCAGCTCCCTGACCACGGAAGGACTGACCTCCATAAAGGGGCTCAATTTCATAAACACTGGCCAGTTGTGAAGCCTTTGGTTCCTCTGGTTCCTCCAGCCTGAGCGGAGTCAACTCCCCTCTTCCATGTCACTCCTCTTCTCCTCCCTCCTGCCTGCTTGCTGTCCTTTCTCCTTTCCTTACTCCCTTCCCTCAACCTCATTATCATCAACAATAACTCAGGTCTGGTGGCCCTCCTCGATCAATAAGGAAACCCTTCTTCCTATCTTCAATCCTCACCTGCAGCACCCACAAAAATGCCCAAGGGTGGGGAGGATGGGAGTGGGGGAAGTGAAGCCTGAACTGTGGAGAGGGTGGTCCCCCTATTCAGACATGCTCTCCCCAAGGCAGGGCTATTGTATCCCCAATGCCTGGCAGGGCAAGACCTAGAGCAATGGTGGGGATCCGAATACAATAAATCGAGGAATGAACACATAGAAAGGCAAGAGCTATGTCCATTGAAAAACTGGGGGGGGGGGGCGGGGAAGAGGGATTCTTGAGTCCCCAGCCCCTGGTTCCTCTATTGCCCCCTGCCTTGGGCTCCCTGAGACCTCCTTTGCCCCAGTGCGGGTAAATGGTCTAGATACCCCCTCCCTGAGTGTATTTCCACTCTCAGTACCTCCACCACCTCAACTTGGTCACAGGAGTGGTCCATGTGGAGACCATGCCTTCTCTCCATCCATGCTTTGGAATAAGGTGAGGCTAGGCCAAGGAGGCAGGGGTGGTGTGGTGCATAGTGTTACGGGGAAGCGCCCGCAAACCTCTGAGGAGCTCATGAACTCTCCAATATTTAAGCACTGGCAGGGGTGTAGACAGGAACAGGTCACTGGACCCTGCTATGCCAGCAGTCTGCTCAATAAACGAAATCAGTTCTATCCAATTGCCTTGTTCCGACCTCACCTGTGGTTGTGCCTGATTGGCCCAGGCTGGGTGCTGAGAATACATCAAAGGTGGGGAGTGCTTGGTCCAGGCAGCTGTCTGGACATCACATCTCTGTGGGGCCAACCTGGGGAACTGACCAAGCTGGAGCTGGAGTCTGGGAGGAAGACCCACATTCTGGTTCTGCCCTCAGGTACCAGGCAAGAGGCTGTGAGGCCTTGTGCCTCAGTTTCCTCATCTACAGATGGAGGATGAGGACAGCACTGCCATCACAGGGCCACTATCAGGATGGAGGGTGCCTGGCACCTGTTCACATCAGGAAGGGTTTATGAATGGATGGGCAAATGAATGAAGGGGGAGATGGAGGTTGTTGATGCTCTTCTAGCTGAACTCCGGGTTCTGGAAAGTTAGCAACTCGGACACCCACCCAGTTCTCCCTCTAACACAGTCCAGCCTGGGGGGCCTTGAGCCTGAGCACTCCCTCTCCATCCTACAACCCCAGTGGGACCTTCCCAATCCCACCAGGAGACAGTGGGTTCCTTAAGGGGCTCATGGCCACACCCCTTTCTGTGGGCAGGATTGGTGGAGGGTGATTCGGGAAGGGTGATTGAGAACAAGAACCAACCCTGGAAAAATCTCCCTGCCCCCACAGCTCCATCCAGGGAAGGTGGGGAACCCGTTTGAGGCTGAATACAGAATTAGTGCGACCTGCACCTCTCGCTGTAGAGTGAGTGGCGGTGTGTCCTCCGCGGACTCGTTAAGTCCAGATCCCAGCGTGCGGGCTGTGGGCGGGCTGGGGTTCTCCGCAGGGGGTTTGAAACCCACGTAACCGAAGAGGGAGGGGAGAAGGGCGGCGCGGAGAGGAAGCAGAACACTTGGAGAGATCTCCGCTCCTCCCGGGGTCAGAGGGGAGCGCAGGGGCCGCGACAACGCCGGAGAGGACGCTGGAACCCACGCGGCCGGCTGCCGCTGGTGCCCGCCAGGGGCGGACCCCCAGAGCCCCGGATCTCAGAGCTGCCAGGTGAGTGAGTAAGGGGAACTGGTCCGCCATCCCCACCTCACCCCACCCCCGAGTCCGAGTCCCAGGGTCCCCCGCTCCGCTCCCTTCCCCCGTCTCTTGAGATCTCTCCCTCCTGCTAGCCCTGGGTGTTCAGGGGGCCATCGCCTACTGGCTCAGGCAAGTGAAAGCCACACGAGTTGGGGGAGGCTGGACGGAGGGCAAAGAGATGAGAGGGAAGACGGGAGAGGGCAGCGAGGAGGGGATGCTTTAAGGAATGGAGGAGACACTCTATCCAACCCTAAACTGCAGGGGAACTGAGTAGCGCCAAGACAAGAGGTCAGGGACCTGTAGCCTTGAGACCAAGTTATTTGAAGAGACAAGAAAGAGAGGGAAGCAGGAGAAGAGGAAACACACAGCACAGAGTGGCTGCCTTGGGCCCCCTCTGCTCTACCCTGATCCCACCCCCTCTTTAACTCAATAATCCACCCTAGAATCCACTTCCAGTCCCCACCCAGCTGCCCACCACACCCTTCCAGGCCCAAAGTGAGGAGACAATCAGAGAAGTGGGCACAGAGCAACTTCAAAACCGAGACAGATGAAGCCAGGAAGGCAGGAGACATATCAGGGGCCCCTCTGACCAATTCCTCTCTTCGCCATTTGTTTAACCAATAGTCCCTGGGCCCCTGGGAGACCCAGGCACTCCACTGGGGATGCAGGCCGCAAGCAAGGCAGATATAATCCTGGTCCTCAAGGAAGACCATTGAGTGATGCAGGCCTGGACAACACAGGATTCAGCAGTCACCCGCTAATTTGGGGAGTTAAGGAAGGCTTCCTAAAGGAAGTGAGGTCCCAGCTGTAGTCTGACAGTTAAACTGGAGTAAGCCAGGTGAAGGTAAAGTGAACACATGGTTCAGGCTCCGGGAGCAACATGTTCACCAGATGACACCTGGTGAGTTCAGCTCTACTCCAGCAAAATCACAAAGGCCACCTGAGGGAGTCAGGACTGGGACTTTAACCCATAGGGAGAGATGGGGAAGGGGCAGAGTGGGGTAGCAGTGAGACCAGAGAGAAAGGGCTGGATTCTAGACACACCTGGAGGAAAGAGCCTGCATCAACCCACCTGGCTTGGTGGTAGATTGGATTGGAAATGTGTGGAGGAAAGCCTGAGGGAGATAAAAGAGCAAGGATGAAGCCCGGGTTTCTGGCTGGGAGAAGATGAAGTTTTAGGAGCCTGTTTCCAAGAGGAAGAGAATGTTTCCAGGAGGGAGGGTTCAACGGGGCCAAAGCTGTGAAGAGGTCTAGTTAGCTAAGGACTGAACAGTGTTCATTGAATTTATCAACAAGGAGACAGTTGGTGGCCTTGGAGAGAGCGGAGTGGTGATGGGTCAGAAACCAGCCTGGAATGGGCTGACGCTTGAGAAGGAGGTTAAGTAGGGAGTGTAGACAACACTTTCAAGAAGGGAAGAGTGTTAAGCAGAAACAAATGTGGGGTTGCAGGAGGCTTTTGTTTTAAGAGGTGGAGGCTTGAATGCCTCCAGGAGAAGGTGCAGGCACAGAGAGGTGGGCTGATGAGCACTGACCAGGAAGGGAGAGGTTTCCTGGAAGCCTTGAGGGCCTGAGACATGCCAGAGACATGGGTGCACAGGGGGCCTGTGCTGCCCAGCTCATGATTTTCTTTTCACCTACGAGGCCTCGTTAGCAGTTTGGGCACAAACTTGGAGGAGGCAGGAAGCTGGCTGATGCAGGATTAAGGTTTGGTTGGTCAGCTTCAGCAGAAGAACAAGTTGAAAAAAAGGTAAATTGCAAGAGAGTAACTGAAGGAAGAGTGCGGGTTTTCGGTAGATGTGGAAAGAAGCAAAGGCAAGAGACTCATGGAGAAAATGTAGAGTTCCAGGATTGCGTCAGCTCAGGTAACAGTTGCAGCAAGAGGCGCCGTGGAGCTATGGTGAAGAGCCCAGGTTTAGAAGACACACAGCCTACGTAGGTTTGAATCCCAGCTCTGCCACATATTATCACCATGTCTGTAACCTTGGACAAGTCATTCAACCTCTCTGAGCCTCTGTATCCCCATCTGAAAACAGAGATGGCAATACCATCTACCTACAGGGTTGTCACAGGGCTTAAATGAGTTACTAATATAAAGGGATTAGAACAGTGTTTGACATGTAGTAGGTGCTGAACACGTTTCAATAGTGGTAGCAAAGGGGTTATAGTCGAGAGTAGGATGTCTGGGTGTCTCAGGTAGAATGGTTCAGGGTGATGACAGGATAATGAGGTCCCCAGGTGATGAGGGGAGGATAGTTGAGTGGAATGGAGGATTGGACACTGGAGATGAGGAGCCAAGGAACTAGGGGGGCCACAAGGTGGGGCAGCTGTGCAAAGGATGCAGATAGGACTTGGGCTGGAGGGGGAAGAACTGGTCCCAAAGCCTTGGAAGGAGGCAGGCAGGAAGGGCAGTTCCACTCCAGCCAGTCTGCAGGCCCCTCCCTCCACCCTTCCGCTGGCTCCAGACAACTGCGTGGTGGTGGAGGCATAGGCTGAAGCTGGAGATCCAGGTCTGGCCACAGACATGGCCCCTACTTGGGCTGTGGTCTGAGGAGTCTGGTGAGCAAGTCTAAGAGCAGCAGGGAGGACCAAAGGAGAGCAGGAGGCCCAGAGCAGCGGGGCCACCTTGCCTGGCTGGGTGCAGAGTTGGTCTAATGAACACAGAACTTGATTGCTGCAGAGAGAGTCTTGTGTCACTGGGACCCCTCAGCTGGGCCAGAAGCCGCAGCCTGGAGTGCCAGCAGAGCCCATCTATACCAAACTCAGTGAAACTGAGTCCTGGTGAGGGGAACTGCGAGCGCTTTCCTGTTGCAGGCATGGAAGCCACTGTAAATGGCAGGATACCATCAGAGCAGCTGGAATGGTCTCTGCCTACCCACACCCCCCCACCCACCCATCACCTCTCCCAGGGGCTCCTGCTTTCCTCACTACCGAAGTAGCTCCCCTCCACCTCCGCACTTCCAGGCAAAGAGAAGTCTCCAGAGGTACCTCTGCTGAGCGGCAGCTCATTTCCACCAGATCGGCAGGCAACTGAGAGTATCTATCTACCTGTTGGCCTGTGTCTGCAATTCCCAGTGTGTAATGCACCTGCGTTTATATTTTTGGGTATGTCTGAACACTGAGTGTACATGTGTGACATGTGTGTTTGTGCATGCACATGCACTTAGGGACGAAGATGATGGGACCCAGGAATCAGATGTAGGAGTTGGGAAGCCACACCTTCAGACTTCATCCTCAAGCCTTCTTTCCAGCATGCACCCATGCCCATGCCTATCCCTTGGGGTGGGAAAGGGCCTGTAAAATTGGCTGGGGTGGGGTGGTGGCAGCTCTTTAGGCTCTGGGGAGGGAGAGTTCGGTTGGCAGAAGCTGAGAGCTTCCAGGGAGATGAATAAGCTGGTAATGAGTAATGGTGATGTGGGAGGTTCCCCGAGGATGGGGTGTAGTGGGGAGGGTAGAAGGCTGGAGATAGAGAGAGTGATGGGGCTGGCTGGGGCCAGGGGAGGGGGCTGGCCCAGACTTTCAGGGACTGAGGGGGAACAGAAGGGCTAAGATTAAGGGGAACAGAGGG